TATGTATGTATATATGTATATATATGTATGTATATATATGTATATATGTATATATGTATATGTGTATATGTGTATATATACATATATACATGTATACATGTATACATATATATTTATATATATGTACATATATGTATATATATGTATATATATATGTATATATATATATATATATATATGTATGGGAGTTGATAAAATGCATGTAAGAGGTACTTTTAAAATAAAGATAATGAATTTCTCATTCATTAACCTGAAAAAGATGGCGTGAAAAATATTTGAATGCTGTCAGATAACCTATGTCTCCACCTTTTGATCATTTGATTTATTTATTTTTTCCCCCTGTCCCTCCCACCTCTCTCTCTTTCTCTGTCTATCTTTGTCACTCTGTAGGTCTGAAGCAAACACTGCCATTCTTTCCCCGGTGTCTGGCGAGGGGACCACATCCTTGCTTCAGCCAGATCCACCAAGTTTTTTTTCCAACATGCAGACCTCTGCTGTCTTCCTCTTATCCTTAGTTTACCTTTTCCCCCTCCTCATCCCTAGCTGTTACACTCAAAGTGAGGCAGACCTAGTTGTACAGACTCGTAGCGGTAGGGTCCGCGGCATCCGACAGCAGGTGCCAGATCGAAGCTTCGTTACTGCCTTCCTGGGCATCCCTTTTGCTGAGCCACCAGTAGGGAAGAGGCGTTTCCGTCCAGCTGAAACTAAGCGTCCGTGGACAGGGGTATATGATGCAAAAGCTTACCCCAATGCCTGCTATCAGTTTGTGGACACATCGTTCCCGGGTTTCCAGGGGAGTGAGATGTGGAACCCGAACCGAGAGATGAGTGAAGATTGTCTGTATCTCAACATCTGGGTGCCGTCTTCACCCAAGCCACACAATCTCACCGTCATGGTGTGGATTTATGGAGGAGGTAGGTGCATCGTTGTTTGTTTAGTCTTTTAACCAAAGATAATCACATTTGAAATAGGTCATTTTTTGGGGGGGGGGCTACATTAGGGCCCCAGCGCTTCTTTGCTTCTAGTCGGCGCAACACCGCATGCGACACTATCAGCCAATCAAAATTACGTTTCTGCAACTAGGGTCAAATTGACTTTGACCCTAGATTTAGGGACATTTCAGACCCTCTTAGAGACAAAATTAGTGACTGTAAGAAGTCAAATGTAAATGCAAGTTACAACTGTATAAAAGCATACTTCCAAAGAATGAGGGGGCAGAGGAATCTATCTATCTATCTGTCTATCTATCTGTCTATCTGTCTGTCTATCTGTCTGTCTATCTGTCTGTCTATCTGTCTGTCTATCTGTCTGTCTATCT